TGAAATATTCATACACTGAATGAAACTTAGCTGTGATGTATATTCATCCACGATAATGGGGTGAATTTTGGGAGTTATCTCCCTTAGACCGCATGACCGTACCAATAATGTGACATTTCATGACCTTTAAGATCTATCCGAGGTCGGCAGTTAGTTGTTTCAAGTAGATTAGGTATTGGAGGACTATAGTATTGATTACAATATATATCTAAGGTAGGCAGTTGACAGTTTTAATTACAGTATGTATCCAAGGTCGCCAGTTTCAAGTAGATTTGGTATTCAAGGACTACAGTATTGATTACAATATATATCCTAGGTCGGTAGTTGACAGTTTTGATTACAAGTTTTAATTACAATATATATGGCAGTCGGCAGTTATAATGAGAATAACTGATGCAAAGTGCCGACCTGCCATAACCCTGAGATAATACATATAACTGAAGCAAAGTGCCGAGTTCGTGAAAATGTATATAACTATTAGCCGATTTACTGATTAATACAGATTTCATTACACACCAGGAACTATTTGTTCTGTACACTCCAGTTGGTCCATAAAAGGCAAAACCTTAAAAGAGCATAGTTTTTGCTTATCTCTGATATTTACTGATTCAGAGTAGGATAAGAGTAGATAAGATAAGATAAGCTTTATGTAAAGTTAGAAAGTCAAGGAACAACAATAAAACATGACCTTTAGTCAGATTTTTAGGACCGCACATTAATGTGCAATCTTTTTGTAGGGAAATTACTGAATATAAGGCTCTGCCAGAACTGTGATCAGACACATACATTTTTAGCCAATCAAATTTTCCAAATGGAATAATCTCTTTAGACCTGCTATAGTACGATTCATCTCTACAAATATAGCTTGGTAAGAGAGTGTGTCCAGAGTCATGAGTCCAGGCTTAACATCCTGGTCTAGCCCTTCTGCATTTTTAGGACCTATTGCTATCCGTCTTCGTCCATCATCCGTCGTCCGTTAACATTTTACATTTTCAACTTAAGCTGAAATACTGGCAATTTAATATATTAATATTCATGTGAAGGTTACTGACATCTCCCTGACCAAGTGTTGTTATTTTTCGGGTCGATCAGAAATCCAATATGGCCTCCATGGCCGCCATTTTGAAAAACTATTTCAAACTTAAGCCAAGTTCTGCTAGGCCGATTGAACTGAAACTTTGTAGGAATGATCGACTCATGGTCCTGACAAAGTGTTGTTATTTTTTAGGTCGATCAGAAATCCAATATGGCCACCTTGACCGCCATTTTGAAAAACTATTTCAAACTTAAAGTCAAGTTCTACTGGGCCGATTGAACTGAAATTTTGTAGGAATGATCGACTTATAGTCCTGACAAAATGATGTTATTTTTCGGGTCAATCAGAAATCCAATATGGCCACCACTGCTGCCATTTTGAAAAAATATTTAAAACTTAAAAACAAGTTCTAATAGGCCGATCTTACTGAAACTTGGTCTAGGAATTATCAGCTCATGGTTCTGACAAACTTAAGTTAACGTTATACTTAACTATTTTTACTCAAATTGGTACATATTTCAACAACAAAAATAAATACTGTAGGACTCAGGTGACCATTAAGGCCCATGGGCCTCTTGTTCTTCTGAAGCATTTATATAATTTATTTATAGATGCATGTATTAAAGTGAACACAGCAGACATTGGATAATTAAATCAGTTTTAATTGATACATGAACTTTCATTACTGAAACTCTATTTCCTATTATAGGAGTTTGTTATTGATAACACTTTAATTAACTCCTGTGGTCCTTTTATGGTGTGAATGTAGATCCACACGAATACTGAAAATAAAACTCTGAGAAAGTTGTGTTTTTATAATAAACACAGGTAAAAGATTGCTTATAAAAGAACAATAATCACCCCAGCTTTATAGCCACTTCATTTCATCCTAGTTAAGGTAAAATCCTTTTCCTTACCTATGGAGCTCATGAAGTGAAGGCTACGAATGTACAGTGTTCATTTAAATATCGGGTGGTTCAGATGTAAGTATGTTTGAAATCACTCTTGCCACCTAGTAAAACAGGAAGGCCCAAACATTTTCAGGTTGCACGTAAGAAGGTCAAACCTATTTGCATAAGATATTTTCATCTGCAAATCTTAACCAATTGGATCAATGTCTTTCCCATATTATGTGTCATCAAATGAACAGTCTTTAGATTATGATTAGTTACTGGAAATCCAGTGTTCTCATTAGCTGCTTGCTGTCAAAAGTAGCTTGCACCTTTGAACTGGCTAATTTTCAGAATATGTATAGGTCAAGATTACAGCATGCTCTGCAATCCAATCACCTATTTCAAAACATTAAGCGAGAACACTGAAATCACGAACTTTTCATTTTAATCGTCCCTCACAATGTAATCATAATAAAGAGACTGACATACACTAATGTTGTGAACTTGTATGCAAGGAAATGTATATATATATCATTTAAAGTTTTCTTGGTTGCTTTAATCCAATTTGAACATAGGGATGATGAGTAAGTATACCAGAAGTGGTTTATTTATTTGTTGAATGCATGTTGCCTTTATTGTTTGGTGAATAATGCAGCTAATATATCTTGAGTCTATATATTAAGAAGCATCAAAAAGCAAGAGCTGAATTTTAAAAAAAAATCTTGATCTTACTGAAAACAGGACTGGAGGAAACAATTAATGCTAATTTCACCTCTATTTTTTGTACTGACTGTATTTTGTTCTGGATTTCAAACGCATTGGAAAAAATAGTGCTATATGTAGTGAGCTTATTACCTTACTTAGTTAACATTGTATTGCGATTGATCAGTTACCTTGTATGAGTGAATCAATTATTAAAGCTACATATATTCAGTTGAATATTTTATTTGCCCGTTGCTTGCACTAGTCTATGAGTGTTTAAATTTGTAGGCTGAATTAAAAGTCTTTATGACCTTGTGCTTTCACTAGAGACAAAAGTCTTTATGACATTGTGTAGCCATTAGAGACAAAAGTCTTTATGACCTTGTGGTGTCACTAGAGACAAAAGTCTGTATGACCTTGTGCTGCCACTAGAGACAAAACTCTTTATGACTTTGTGCTGCCACTAGAGACAAAAGTCTTTCCTTCTAAATTTTACTTTTCGTATTGAAATTTATTGACTTGTGAATAATTATTATAAGCATGATTCATAATCTTAACTTAAGTTTTCCTGAAGGAAAGCATAAATGACCACTATTGGAATAAGGAAAAAATCCAGAGGGAGCTTTCTTTTAATGTTAGTAATGCTTTACAATGGAAAATATTAAGTTCAGGAATTCTGAAATCATGGAACCTTCAAGATCTGTATACTTTTTAAGTAAGAAGACTATTAATTGTTACGTGGTATCAAATGAATATACAGTGAAACCCCACTTACTCGAACTCGCATAACTCGAATACTCCCTATTCCTCGAATAATTTGCTTGGTCCTGACTGTGTAATCTTATAACCGCGGATTACTCTTACTTAGCCATTGCTTGAATACCTCATATCCCTTGAACTTTGCTTTATCTCCAATCACTCAAAATCTTAGTATTAAACCTATCCATTCGTTGAACAGGTAGACACACCCGCATGTATGCAGTAGCTACGTGCCATCGACATGCCTCGAAGCATAGGCCACTCATTGTGGTTATACGATATACAGGTGTCAGATATACAGGTGTCAGCCTTACGTCATATAATTAAAGGATTAACGATAGTATCATTAAGTTCCTGTACCATTACCCTGTTGTAGTGGTATTATCATTTTGTGTGCATATTTATCATTTAAATAGGATGTCTTGACAACAATGATATGGGGGAAGTTTTTATTCACTGGTTTTGTAAAACCATATCTCAAACATTAAGCGGCAACCACGTAGCAGATTTCCAACCATCTTTAAAGATATTTAAACTTAAATACGTCGTGATTGTTAATTTTATTATCAATCAACATAATAATAACAGGGATTCAAGATTTTCTTCATTTCAAAAGGATTGAAGAGTTCCTCTTGTTAAGATATTTTGTAAAATTAACGTGTTGGAATACAGTATGGCTGACTGTCAAAACAAGAAGTACTGCTATAACAACTGAAACGTTATACACACAGCCTTTTTATTTTGTTTTGGAACCATTCTTAATACTGATGACTGCACGTTTTCATTGTTGAACTACTTTATATCTTATTTAATGTTTTCATCTTATGAAATTCTTTTTTAATTCTATCAACTACTATCCACGATATTTTCAGTGCTCGTACTGTCTGTCGTCTCATAAAATGGCGATGTTAGTCGAATCTTGGATTCCATGAACACCATGTATTCTTCCAACTATTGATCTGGACCCCACGAGTTCTAGTTTGCGGGGTTTTACTGTATATACTTGAATACAAATCTTTTTGTAATAAAACCTGTCTAATCTAACTTCTTGATATTCTGACCTCCTGTCTTTTCTAATATAACCAATGTTGTTATCCCATTTCTGAAGAAAACTACCAGATACAATCTGTGTATTCCGACAACCTGTCTAATCAGATCGATATGTTGTGACTCAAAGAATGTTGGATAAGACAGATTTCACTTTTTGTACACTTTACCTTAATTTGTCTTATGAAATAATGATAATGGCATTTGGATTAGTAGCAATCAAAATACATTTCTATGTGTACATATATTTGACAGAAATATAATTCTATTACAGTAACAACATCAAATAAGTTCTCTCATCATGATATATAATTGTCTATTTAATTTAAAAAAAAAGTAATTTACCCTGTTTGTTTTGCTTAAGCTTATAAAGAAAGAAAAGAATATTCATATCCAGATTAAAATGACATGTTGAAGAGACTTATATATCAAGTTTTTAACCATGCCAGGTAGGTTTATATATCCCTTATAAACTTTATAAACTAGTAATATTTCTCGGTAACATCTGCTGTCTATACAAAGAAATATTAGTATTAAGTCATGAATATATAAATTACTTACAGGAAAAAGGGAAAGAAGGGAGCAAAGAAGAATGACTCTATTGCAAAGCTAGCCGTAGCAAACTCTAAAGCATGGGAGGCAAGACTAGATGTGGCAGAGAGTTCCAAGCAAGAGTACAGGTTAGTGTTCCTTACTACTTACAGAGAGTTCCAAACAAGAGTACCGGTAAGTGTTCCTTACTACTTACAGAGAGTTCCAAGCAAGAGTACAGGTTAGCGTTCCTTACTACTTACAGAGAGTTCAAAGCCAGAGTACAGGTAAGTGTTCCTTAATACTTACAGAGAGTTCCAAGCCAGAGGACAGGTAAGTGTTCCTTACTACTTACAGAGAGTTCCAAGCCAGAGTACCAGTAAGTGTTCCTTACTATTTACAGAGAGTTCCAAGCAAGAGTACCGGTAAGTGTTCCTTACTATTTACAGAGAGTTCCAAGCCAGAGTACAGGTAAGTGTTCCTTACAACTTACAGAGAGTTCAAAGCCAGAGTACAGGTAAGTGTTCCTTACTACTTACAGAGAGTTCAAAGCCAGAGTACAGGTAAGTGTTCTTTACTACTTACAGAGAGTTCCAAGCCAGAGTACAGGTAAGTGCTCTTTACTACTTACAGAGAGTTCCAAGCCAGAGTACAGGTAAGTGTTCCTTACTACTTACAGAGAGTCCCAAGCCAGAGTACCGGTAAGTGTTCCTTACTACTTACAGAGAGTTCCAAGCAAGAGTACCGGTAAGTGTTCCTTACTACTTACAGAGAGCTCAAGTTCCAAGCCAGAGTACCTGTAAGTGTTCCTTACTACTTACAGAGAGTTCCAAGCCAGAGTACTGGTAAGTGTTCCTTACAACTTACAGAGAGTTCCAAGCCAGAGTACAGGTAAGTGTTCCTTACTACTTACAGAGAGTTCCAAGCCAGAGTACCTGTAAGTGTTCCTTACTACTTACAGAGAGCTCAAGTTCCTAGACAGAGTACCGGTGAAATAAGTGAACAGTTCAGTAAATAAAGAAATCATTACTGGTAGGAGACTATGGATCTAAGATAGTGTCACTGGTTAGCGACTTGGCAATCGTTAATGTGAGCCCTGAATTATGGATTTTTGGGACTGACCAGAAAAACAGGTTAGCCACCAGACAGCAATCTTGAATTTAGACAGTTCAGTTTTGTTATCATTATTTTATATGTATGTTATCCTTGGTCCCATTGTTAGCTCACCTGGCCCGAAGGGCCAAGTGAGCTTATGGCATGGTGCAGCGTCCGGCCATCATCCGTCATCCATCCGGCGTCAACTTTTTACTTTAAACAACTTCTTCTCAGTAACCAAAAGGCCTAGGGTGATGATATTTGGCCAGTTACATGCTTGGATGAAGCGCTAACAATTTTGTTCAAATAAATGACCTTCATCCATTTTCAAGGTCACAGGGGTCAAATATGTTTAAAACCTTTAAACGACTTCTTCTAAATAACCGAGAGAGCTAAGGTGATGATATTTGGCCAGAATCATGCTGGGATGAAGGGCTACCAATTTTGTTCAAATAAATGACTTTGATTTATATTCAAGGTCACAGGGGTCAAATATGTTAAAATCTTTAAACAACTTCTTCTGAATAACCAAGAGGCTTAGGGTGATATTTGGCCAGTAACATGTTGGGATGAAGGACTACCAAGTTTGTTCAAATAAATGACCTTGACTTATATTCAAAGTCACAGGGGTCAAATATGGATAAAAATATTTAATCAACTTCTTCTGAATAACCATGAGGCCTAGGGTGATGATATTTCGCCAGTAACTTTCTGGGATTAAGTGCTACGAAGTTTCTTCAAATAAATGACCTTGACTTATATTCAAGGTCACGGGGGTCAAATATGTTTAAAACATTTAAACAACTTCTTATGAATGACCGAGAGGCCTAGAGTGCTTTAATTTGGCCAGTAACATGCTCGGATGAAGGGCTACCAAGTTTGTTCAAATGAATGACCTTGACATATATTCAAGGTCATAGGGGTCAAATATGTTGAAAACCTTTGAATGACCTCTCCTTAATAATCAAAAGGCCAAGGGTGTTGATATTTGGACATTAACATGCTGGGATGAAGGGTTTGTCCAAATGAATGACCTTTGCCCATATTCAAGGTCACAGTGGTCAATATATGTTCAAATTTTAAAATGATTTGTTCTGTATAACCAAAATTTCCAGGGTAATGATATTTTGCTAGAAGCATGCTGGGTTGGAAGACTATAAACTCTGATCAACCTAATGTCCTTGTTCGTTATTCAAGGTCACAGGCGTCATATGTTTAAATCTTTTAATAGGTTCTTATGAATCAAACACTGATATTCTGCCTGTAGTTGTATTTTAGTCCACTTTTAAGATTACAAGTGTGAGATTAATACCAGGTGAGCGATTCAGGCCCATCGGGCCTCTTGTTTAAAATACCACTGGACCTAATGAGAATTCATCCCTACTTTTAACAGCACTTCTAATCATGTAAGGATTATAAATTTTAGTATTTTGCATATAGTTATGCAATTCTTATACAATAACACTTGTCATAGTGGCATAAAATATGACATTACAAGGTTTAAGGTAATGTACAAGATTTCCTTTTAGGATTTCAACATGGACTAAATTGGTAAACTGATAAAGAACCTTTGATGGTGGGCACCAAGATCCTTCTAGAATCTTTTATTTCCTTAAGTTTCCTTTTTGTCTGCCTCTAATAGAAGTTTCCTTGAATTCTATCTTCACCAGTTTTTGTGTTTTGTCATGACAGAGAGCATGCAAAGAAGCTAATGCTGGAGAACGATGGCCTACAGAGTACCATGTTGAGGTCCGAGCAGGAGGCCATTGAAATCTTCACACTCTTACAGAAAAAGGATGAACAAAAAAATAACACAGTGAGTACTTCTAGACATCAATCTGTCTTCAATTCAGCTTGATGTAGAAAAAATTCCTGTATATAAAGGCCATACATGAATGATTTTTTTTTTAGCTCACCTGGTCTGGTCCGTTTGTCCGTCAACTTTTCCTTTAAAGCGCTACTAGTCCTGAACAGCCAAGTAGATTTTGACTAAATTTGGTCTGGGACATCCTTAGGCCAAGGGGACTCAATTTTGTATAAATGGTGGGTGTGGCCCCCCTGGGGGCAGCGGAGCAGGGCCCAATAAGGGAAATAGAGGTAAAACCTTCAAAATCCTTCTTCTACCATAGGGATTAAGGGATTTTATCCTAATTTAGTCTGGAGCATCCTTGGGTCAAGGGGACTCAATTTTGTATAAATGGTGGGTGTGGCCCCCCTTGGGGCAGAGGGCCGGGGCCGAATAGGGGAAATAGGTAAAACCTTCAAAATCCTTCTCCTACCGTAGGGATTAAGGGATTTTATCCTAATTTAGTCTGGAGCATCCTTGGGTCAAGGGGACTCAATTTTGTATAAATGGTGGGTGTGGCCCCCCTTGGGGCAGAGGGCCGGGGCCGAATAGGGGAAATAGGTAAAACCTTCAAAATCCTTCTCCTACCGTAGGGATTAAGGGATTTTATCCTAATTTAGTCTGGAGCATCCTTGGGTCAAGGGGACTCAATTTTGTATAAATGGTGGGTGTGGCCCCCCTTGGGGCAGAGGGCCGGGGCCGAATAGGGGAAATAAAGGTTAAACCCTCCAATTCCTTCTCCTACCCTAGGGATTAAGGAATTTTATCCTTATTATGTCTGGAGCATGGAGCATCCTTGGGCGAAGGAGACTCAGTTTTGTATAAAACGTGGGTTAGGCCCCCTAAGGGCCTGAGGGGCGAGGCCCAATAGGGGAACATAGCAAATTATTCTTTAAAATCCTTCTTCTTCTGTAGGAATGAAAAGTTTTGGTCCATATTTGGTGTGAGACATCCTTGGGTAAAGGGGAACCAATTTTGTATAAACGGTGGGTGTGCCCCCCCCCCCCCCCCCCCCCCCCTGGGACCTGAGGGGCTGGGCCCTATAGGGGAAATAGAGGTAAAACCTTTAAAATCCTTCTTAGACCATCATGATTAAGGGATTTTATCCTTATTTAGTCTGGAGCATCCTTTGGCCAAGGGGACTTAATTTTGTATAAACGCTGGGTATGACCCCCCTAGGGGCTTAGGGGTGGGGTTCTGTTTGAAATCTATTATATCTCAAGTACTGGATGGATCTTTCTAAAATTTCATATGTACTTACAGCACCTACTATGGAGTGCTATATCTTTACTTCATACCAATTACTTTAATTATATTCAGGTGAGCGATACAGGCCCTTTGGGCCTCTTGTTGTATAAATGGAGAGGGGGGCTGAATAGGGAAAAAAATGGAAAATCTTCAAAAATCTTCTCCTTCTAAACCAATGCAGGGATTTTTCACCAAATTTGTTTTTGAGCATCTTTAGACAAAGGGGACTCAATTTTATAAATACCATGTGTGTGTGTCCCTGTCCCTGGGATTTTCTTTTAATGGGTGGTCAGGTGGTGCAGTCGATAGCGCACTTGCCTTTCACCAAGGCGGCTGGGGTTCGATTACCTGATCGTACGTGAAAAGGTTGGGGTAACCATCCCGACCATATGGGTTTTCTCCAGGTACTACTGTTTCCTCCCACACTAAGACCCCCCACGCGCTAACATCTGGGCCAACGAGAGTATTTAATATAAGTTGAAATATCTTGTTTCATAATTGTTGTAAAATAAATAAAGTTTATATATTTATTTTAATGGGGTCTGGAGCAGCCTTGGGGAAAGACTATGTAGAGGACTCAATTTTGAGTCTGTTACTGTGGTCCTCATTTTTGGCAGAGGGGTTTATAAGGCCTAATAGGGGAAATAAGGGAAACTATTTGTAAGAAATCATTTTCCTTTTGTACCAATAAAGGGATTATAACCAAACTTGTTCTAGGGCATCTTTAAGCAAAAGAGATTCAATTTTGTATTAACAAAGGTTTTGGCACCCTTATAGGCCAAGAGGCGAGGCCTGATTAAGGAAATAAAGATTAAATAGATGGTTACCGACAAAAACCCCACCCCTTTTGGGGCAGAGTAACTTCAGTAAGGGGCCCAATAGGGTAAATAAAGCTAAACGAATGAAGGAATTTAGGTGTAGAGTGTGCCATCCTTTGGCAGGTGGGATTTTATATAAATGGAGTGTGCCCCCCCCCCCCTGTTAAGTACTATCGGGCTAGCCTTAGTGTTGATCCCTGTAGTACTAGACATGGACTATCGGGCTGGCATTAGTGTTGATCCCTGTAGTACTTAGACATGGACTATCAGGCTGGCGTTAGTGTTGATCCCTGCAATACTAGACATGGACTATCAGGCTGGCGTTAGTGTCGATCCCTGTAGTACTTGACATGGACTATCGGGATGGCGTTAGTTTTGATCCCTGTAGTACTAGCCATGTACTATCGGGCTGGCGTTAGTGTCGATCCATGTAGTACTTGACATGGACTATCGGGCTGGCGTTAATGTTGATCCCTGTAATACTAGACATGGACTATCAGGCTGGCATTAGTTTTAATCCCTTTAGTACTTAGACACGGACTTTCGGGCTGGCGTTAGTGTTGATCCCTGTAATACTAGACATGGACTATCAGGCTGGCGTTAGTGTCGATCCCTGTAGTACTAGACATGGACTATCGGGCTGGCGTTAGTGTCAATCCCTGAAGTACTAGACATGGACTATCGGGCTGGCGTTAATGTTGATCCCTGTAGTACTAGACATGGACTATAGGACTGGCGTTAGTTTTGATCCCTGTAGTACTAGCAATGTACTATCGGGCTGGCATTAGTGTTGATCCCTGTAATACTAGACATGGGCTATCGGGCTGGCGTTAGTGTTGATCTCTGTAGTACTAGACATGGACTATCGGGCTGCCGTTAGTGTCAATCCCTTTAATACTAGACATGGCCTATCGGGCTGGCGTTAGTGTTGATCTCTGTAGTACTAGACATGGACTATCGGACTGGCGTTATTGTTGATCTCTGTAGTACTAGACATGTACTATCGGGCTGGCGTTAGTGTCAATCACTTTAATACTAGACATGGACTATCGGGCTGGCGTTAATGCTGATCCCTGTAGTACTAGACATGGATTATCGGGCTGGCGTTAGTGTCAATCCCTGTAGTACTAGCCATGTACTATCGGGCTGGCGTTAGTGTCAATCCCTTTAATACTAGACATGGCCTATCGGGCTGGCGTTAGTGTTGATTCCTGTAGTACTAGATATGGACTATAGGACTGGCGTTAGTTTTGATCCATGTAGTACTAGCCATGTACTATCGGGCTGGCGTTACTGTTGATCCCTGTAGTACTAGACATGGACTATCGGGCTGGCGTTAGTTTTGATCCCTGTAGTACTAGACATGACTATAGGACTGGCGTTAGTTTTGAACCCTGTAGTACTAGACATGGACTATCGGGCTGGCGTTAGTGTCAATCACTTTAATACTAGACATGGACTATCGGGCTGGCGTTAGTGTCGATCCCTGTAGTACTAGACATGGTCTATCGGGCTGGCGTTAGTGTCGATCCCTGTAGTACTAGACATGGACTATCGCGCTGGCTTTAGTGTTGATCTCTGTAGTACTGAACATGGCCTATCGGGCTGGCGTTAGTGTTGATCCCTGTAGTACTAGACACGGACTATCGGGCTGGCCTTAGTGTTGATCCCTGTAGTACTAGACATGGACTAACAGGCTGGCGTTAGTGTTGATCCCTGTAATACTAGACATGGTCTATCGGGCTGGCGTTAGTGTCGATCCCTGTAGTACTAGACATGGGCTATCGGGCTGGCGTTAGTGTTGATCTCTGTAGTACTAGACATGGACTATCGGGCTGGCGTTAGTTTTGATCCCTGTAGTACTAGACATGGACTATCGGGCTGGCGTTAGTGTCGATCCCTGTAGTACTAGACATGGACTATCGGGCTGGCTTTAGTGTTGATCTCTGTAGTACTGAACATGGACTATCGGGCTGGCGTTAGTGTTGATCCCTGTAATACTAGACATGGACTATCAGGCTGGCGTTAGTGTCGCTCCCTGTAGTACTAGACATGGACTATCGGGCTAGCGTTAGTGTTGATTCCTGTAGTACTAGACATGACTATAGGACTGCCGTTAGTTTTGATCCCTGTAGTACTAGACATGACTATAGGACTGCCGTTAGTTTTGATCCCTGTAGTACTAGACATGACTATAGGACTGGAGTTAGTTTTGATCCCTGTAGTACTAGACATGGACTATCGGGCTAGCGTTAGTGTTGATTCCTGTAGTACTAGACATGACTATAGGACTGCCGTTAGTTTTGATCCCTGTAGTACTAGCCATGTACTATCGGGCTGGCGTTAGTGTTGATCGCTGTAGTACTAGACATGGACTATCGGGCTAGCGTTAGTGTTGATTCCTGTAGTACTAGCCATGACTATAGGACTGGCGTTAGTGTTGATCACTTTAATACTAGACATGGACTATCGGGCTGGCGTTAGGGTTGATTCCTGTAGTACTAGACATGACTATAGGACTGGACATGGACTATCGGGCTGGCGTTAGTTTTGATCCCTGTAGTACTAGACATGACTATAGGACTGGCGTTAGTTTTGATCCCTGTAGTACTAGACATGACTATAGGACTGGCGTTAGTGTTGATCCCTTTAATACTAGACATGGACTATCGGGCTGGCGTTAGTGTTGATCCCTGTAGTAGCCCTGTTTTTATATTAGAATATGTGTTTGTGTGTTTTAGCTGGAGAAACTCCAGCAGTCTATCCGAGATCAGAAGAAAGATCACCGAAAGGACAAGGAAAATATTGTGGAGGACTTCAGTCAACAGATAAATGAATTGGAAGAACGACTGTCTGAGCGAAGTCGCGAGGTCGACCTTCTGCAAACGGAACTCAAGCAGGTCAAAGAGTTTCGACGGAAGAGAGGCCAGATGCAGAAAGATCTTGATGAGGTAAGAGACTGAGTATAATGTATCCTTACACCTTGAAAGTGAATTTTTTTTAGACAAATTAATCACCACAGATTATTTTCATTTTTATTGATAAAATAAATATTGTTGCCATACTCTTCCCAGCTTTAGATATTTTGGCTATTTACTTGTTATAAGCATCTCTTTGTTGGTCTTTCCATGTTCTCTAAGCTTAGGGCAAGGAACGTACGTCAAATTCAGATGCTTCTTTCAATTATGCAGTTGAACACAACAGACCCTAAAAACTAAAGATAAACATTTGTGACTACAGAACCCTTTGGAAGAATGTCTTATGATCTTTTATCTGATATTCTATTATAACTGTTTCATTTTCTTTATTTCAGATAAAAGAATCTATGTACAATGCTAATCGAGACCATAAAACTACACTTTCACGTATGGAACAGAAATTTTTTGAAGAAAAGGTTTGTTAAAGAAATAAAAATGCAAAATTTCATCAGTTAATTTTAAATTGTCTTACAACTTTCTCTGATCTTGAATGCAAATTTTCAAATGCTTTTTGTTTAAAGCAAAATTTATTAACCTATTAACTTCTTTAAGATCTGAAAACACATTTTTTAAGAATTATAATCTTGTTTTTATTCACATGGGAAGATATCAATAAGAATTGATATTGTAAATTGAATTGTTTAGTTGTTATCAATTATATCAGTTTGTTTGAAAAATTTCAGAAAATTGCTTTTTACGGTCATAACGATCAGTATGTCACTTTCACTTTCAATTGACTTTTAGCAATCCCTAAGAACTATCATTATAACTACATGCTAGCTAACAAACGATACCATATATATAATGTAACAGTCAGTAGGGTGAGAGAAGTGGTATAAAACGTATTAAAACTTGATATGTATTTAAGATTTTTTTTTATGACTTTATACCTCGTAATATATGGTTCATATTATTGTTTCTAGTAGGCAACATTACGATGCTTTCGCCATTTACTATAATTCAGTTTTAATGATTTTAGTAAATCTAATTTATGTATTTTATATGTATTTGATGTTCTAGTAATTGCCAATCATCGAGGTCCCGATGGTGGGGGAGGGGCGACTTGTCGGTAGGGATTGGCCAAACTACTCTCGCTCTTCTCCCACCATCGGATCCTGAGCATGCATTCAATTTTTATGTTATGTACAGTATAATATATGGTTCTTTTTATTGAGAATCGTTAATAGATTCTATGTTTTAATATATATAAATTTTAAGTAGTGTCTCGGAAGTCAGTATGGCTGGGAATATTTCGCATATGTGTATTTTTATTATGTAAGTGATGTGTTATGTAAAATATGTGTGACACTTGAATAAAATATTTTATTATTATATATTATTATTATAAACAGTCAGGATTTACCTTTTTTACAAGGAAAGTTGTTTCATTTTGTCCCATAATCATAAAAATATTTTACCACACTATGTCAATTACGATCATGTGACAATCACATGCCTCCCAAGTCGTGCATTGAAAGCAGCTTGCATTGAACCAATAACAGCCAAAAAACTCAATATAGTCATGCCTTTTTGGTTTTGCAGCTAATCTATAGGGGCCGTGCTTGCACGAAAAGCCAAACAACGCCTATATTTTCTTGTAGTTGAGTTTTTAATCCACCTCAAATGCGACAAAATGTTCAAAGTGGGTTTTGGAAAATTCATGAAGAACAATTCTTTTGACGTTAATAACAACACCCAAACGTCAACCAGCAATTCATGCTATAATCGGTATAACTGGAGGTCAAAATAAAGGCCTCGCTGTTTCCATGCTGGACTGCTCACTGCAGATGAATACAATGTTTTTGTTTTTGTTGGAATCATGTGCTCGCTTTTAGGTCAAGTCGTAGAGCTCAAAGTCTCAAGTGACCTATTGCGATCGCCTTTTGTCCATCGTCGTCCATCGTCCGTCGTGCGTCCGTAAACAATTTACATTTTCGACTTCTTCTCCAAAACCCCTGAACCAATTTCAATGAAATTTTGCAGAAACCTTCCATGGCCAAAGGTCAACAAAAATAGTGGCCAGTTTGGTCCCCAGCCCCCAGGGCCAAAAAGGGTCAAATTGACTAAAATTTCAAAAATCTTCTTCTCAAGTCCCAGATATGGTAGAATCAAATCCTCTTCATAGATGGATGGGTCTTAAGGTGCTTTACCAAAATTGTGAATTTCTTGACCCTAGGGTCTCATGTTTCCCCCTGGGGAGGGGGTAAACTTTACTATAGTATATATAGGGAAATCACATTGTGGACCAACATTTGTTTAATTGCCATTGGAAGTAATTAAATTTAGGTTAGCATTATCAGTATTAGGTAGCAGTTTGATAGTATGCACAGATGAGTCCTGACTGACCCCCCGGGGCTGATGGGTGGGGCCAAAAAGGGTTGAATTGACTGAAAATTTCAAAAATCTTCTTCTCAAGACCCAGATATGGTAGAATCAAACATTCTTCATAGATGGAAGGGTCTTAAGGTGCTAAACCAAAATTGTAAATTTTATGACCTTAGGGTCTCACGTTTCCCCCTGGGGAGGGGGTAAACTTTACTAAGGTTTATAAAGGGAAATCACATTTTGGACCAACATTTGTTCAATTTTCATTGGAAGTAATTCAATTTAGGTAAGAATTATCAGTATTAGGTAGCAGTTTGATGGTTTGCACATATCAGCCCTGACTGACCCCCGGGGCTGATGGGTGGGGCCAAAAAGGGTTGAATTGACTGAAATTTCAAAAATCTTCTTCTCAAGAACCAACACTCTTCATAGATGGAAGGGTCTTGTTTATGACCCTAGGGTCTCACGTTTACCCCCTGGGGAAGGAGGGGTGGGGGGGCAAAATTTATTATGGTTTATAATGGCAAATGATACTTTGAATATCACATGTTAATAACTTGATTGGAATTATAACCCTGAGTTGACAGTTTGATACTTTGAAAATTTTGAGCCAGCCCTACCCCCAAGGGCTGTAGGGTGGGGCCCAAAGGCGTCAGTGTGCTAAAATTTCTTCATTTTCCTTGTTTAGAATCAGAGGTGCTAGTTTCAAGTACTTTTTTAGTCTTAAATCTGTAAGCTAGATATTGAATAAGGTGGTTTTATTGTTTTTTGTCACTTTGAATAATATTTTTGTTCATGTTAAAATCAAAATCAACTCTCTGTATAAATATATCAGGTGACCGTTAAGGCCCATGGGCATCTTGTTTTATTTTAATTGGGTACGTATGTTTATGTAAACATTTACTAATGGGCCCATGGCCCAAAGTTTGGATAAATCTTGAAAATCTTGATATTTTTAATGTTAGGAAAAGTGAAAATTATAACATTTTTCCTGGCAGTGTATGTCCGCATGAAATCAGCTTAATGAAAATTCTGGAGGCACAACCATCAAAATTAAACAACTTTCAGTTAACTGTGATTTCAGTTGAAATTATAGACAATTCATTACAGAACATTTTAATAATCATTAATATTAAGGTTAGTTAATGAGACTTAATTTTACTTGTGATCACTTGTGATGTTATAATAACTCTTTTTATTTTTTAATTATTTTGACATCTGATAGATAATTAAAATCCTTTTTACTTGTTTAATATATATAGAGGTTACACAACGAGTGGTTGTTGAATATGGTATTTATTTCACTCAAGTTAGTTTATTTTCAAAAGTTACAAAAGACACAAGCTTTAGCGAGTTCTTTCTGTAACTTTTGAAAATTAACTAACAAGAGTGAAATAAATACCATACTCAACAACCACGAGTCGTGTGATCTGTTTCTACCACAATCTCATGATCAGTCGGAAATAACATACACACATGTGTTTGTTGACAAGGCTGGCATAGTGATATGACCCATATGTTTATTTTTACGAATTTAATTATTGTCAAAATAAATGTTTCGGCAACAACTTCGTGAAAAAAAAAAATAGATGAACGACTTTAAATATTGAGAGTAGCAGTATTGCATTAATTTATAAAATCAACCATCGGACTATATGCGCGTAAGCATATCGTACGAAGTCTGCCTCCCGCCTAGTCCGAAATATTCTGACGTTTTATCGACTTTTTTCATATCGGCAGGGTTCGAATTTAACCAGATTTTCTACTTGCATTTTTTCGCAAGTGGTATTTTTTCTTACTTGCTAAATGAGAAAACAACTTGCAATTTGCATTTTTCCAACTTTATTAGACATGTTAACTTAAAATTAAATTCTAAAACAACACAGTATTAACTGACATTTTAAATTATGGTCGTTGGGATGTATACATGACGCAAACCTTGCTGTGAAAGGATGCTGGCCTGCTCAGGCTATTCTAAGATATAGCATAAAAACTGCATCTTAGTTTCTTGCTCCATATGGTAGAGTATTTGGTCTTTTCTGTCTTTGTCCCGACAACCACCATCTTGTCACAGCAGGTTTTGGGTCATACTCTCTAAGGGCAACATCAGCAACTTGTCCATTTGTTATTTTGCCGGTGCAGTGAGCTGTGAAATTTAACCTTGGGAAACCCCAATACAACCACGTGACTAGTCAAGCCTATCGTATTTGCGCTATAAATAGTAACTAAAAATAGATTACCGAAAAACATCATGCATGCGGTAAACGTCATCATTATTTGTGCAGGTACTTCCTAACGGACATGCGCACGGGACATGTATCGATTGTAAACATCCGTTAATGACAAAAGCTGAATCATTCATTCGGCGAATGACAAGAATGCGCTTAAATGAACGCGAGTTGTCAAAGAAAGAATTTGTAAAGACCGACCATTAGAAATGAGGATTATTCAGCCCAAAATTTTCACTCGCAAAAAAATGCTGGTGTCTGAAATCTCTACTCGCAGTTTGCAATTTGCACTCGCTTTTCGCGAGTATGCGAGCTTAAATTTGAACCCTGATCGGTCTGTCGTCGATTAACGTCAGAACTCCGGCCCTCTATAATATGCGGGAAATATGCGACCTGCGCCCAGAGCGCACTTCCAACTGATATTTTAGAAACAAATCGTCAGTTTCACACACATGTCGCACATGGATCGAAAGATCTATTCTTTATGCACAAGATGAACATACATAACATGCCCCAAACAACCAATACAATCACTAAAAACATATTTTTTCAAACTTACTCTGTTTTACTCTAGTTTTTTTATAGCCCCGCCTTCTAATGCCACGTGACTAAAATCTTGCCGGCCTACGTCATAATGTTAGGAAATACCTTCGGTAACGTGGGATCTCGTCAAGTCATGTGACATTGCTCATGGCCTAATTTCCATTAAAAACATGGGTTGGTATAGAAAACATCGGAAAATACTTTTCGTAATGATCTTTGAAACACGTTATTGATACCACCTAGTGCATAAAGAATAGATCTTTCGATCCATGTGCGACATGTGTGTGAAAGTGAAGATTTGTTTCTAAAATATCAGTTGGAAGTGCGCTCTGGGCGCGGGTCGGATATTTCCCACATATCATAAAGGGTCGGAGTTCTGACGTTAATCGACGACAGACCGATATGAAAAAAGTTGATAAAACGTCAGAATAATTCGGACTACCTCCCACCAAGTTATGAACCGTTGTAGACGAACTTATCGCTGTCAATATCCAAAACCATAGGCCTCCGTTTCTAGGCCTACGTTTCTTCGTGACGGTTCTATGGTTGACGTTTATAGTGAAAGTTCAGCCATAGTCAGACCATCCAAATAGCGATAACGGGACGTTGGGAGAACGAAATATTTCCCGACACTGTGACAGATATTGTTTTGGTTTCACGACCTGGACACGCGACGGTGTGACGTTGAAACGATATCGAGCGTCTGTAGCAATTTTGCCTGAAACTAGCGATCAAATCTTTAAGTATCATCTTTTAATATTGCCTTAATAACCCCCCTTTCTGCATACACTCACAAAGTCACCAACATTTGTCGGATGTTGACAGCCGACACAAAGTCATCAATATTTGTCGGATGTTGACAGCCGACGACGTAAACAAAATAGCAGGTGGCAAAAAGCATGTGGAAAAAGTCTTCCCGATCAAAGTTCATCTTCTCGACCAATCAAAACTCTTGAAGGTCATATACCATGTGTGGTATATAACTCATATTTATCTAACAGTCTGCGTGTTTATACAATGATCTGAGAGTGGAATAACACAGCGTATTGTGGTAGAAACACATATATACCATCATCTAGCACATGTCAATATTATTCTTTACTTAGATAATGGAATATTTATTGCACTGTTTATTAGGTGTGAAAATAGACATGTATGCTAGGCGAGACTATAGGTATTTTAGAAATGTATGCTAGGCGAGACTATAGGTATTTTAGAAATGTATGCTAGCCGAGACTATAGGTATTTTAGAAATGTATGCTAGGCGAGACTTTAGGTATTTTAGAAATGTATGCTAGGCGAGACTATAGGTATTTTAGAAATGTATGCTATTCGAGACTATAGGTATTTTAGAAATGTATGCTAGCCGAGACTAAACCGTAACAATCACCTTGGGCGATGTGCAGTTAGCCAGACCTATTGTCCAGGTGTCACACACCAACAACCTACCTGAGTTTTTAGCCCGTAAAAATCTATTCACGACCTTATCACAATAAACATATTTCTTTACTTTTAGTCTACATAGAGAAAAAGTCAGTACATGGAAAAAAATATTATAATAAGCATGCAGTTTATCATAATATCCAATATCATAATAAGTGGATTCTACTGTATATGAAACAAATAACACAAATAAACCAGTCTGATAAAATCACTCATTTCTGTTACGTCTTACTTATGTTTCTGTTTTTTTTTTACAGATGCGACTTCAGCAGGAAGCAAACCAGAAGATTGCAGAATTAGCAGAGCGTGCTCACACAGAAGCTATAACGTAAGGGTTTCCGAATTTACAGTCTTTATATTTTTGACTGCCATATACCTAATACAGTGGAACCTACTTATTATAATAACCAATATATATAATATATATTATGTTATAATAAACAATCAAGCTGTTTTTGATCGTTTCTAGTTTGTCAGAACAGAAAGTGAGATGCCCCTATAATCATAAGACATAGATAAATGTGGAAACATGGAAATATTCAATACAAATTGATATTGTAATAATTGAAATAAATTGTATATCATTATATTGAAAAAAGGGGAGAGAATTGCCCGTAAATGTAAAAATATTTTGCAGGACTTTGTCATTTACAATCATGTAACAATCACATGCCTTGCAAGCATACCTGCTTACCCCTGAATCTCCAAATGGGAGTCATGACCACATTGGGAAATTCTGTTTGGGGATTATAATGTGCGTCAAAATTTTCAGGTCAAAATAAATAATTTTGCGTCGTAACAGTATGGCATATGTTGTGTTTTCTGGTAAGATTTAGGACATTTTTTTTAAAATAAATAAAACAAATCTTTTTGCAAATTTTGTTTTATTACATTCTCTCTTTTCAAAATACTAATTTCCCTGTACATACAGGTAGTTTGAGATAATTGTAGAAAACATCATTGATGCATACTGGAAGCATGAACTCATCTAGAAGCTCTTATCTATTTGTCCCTCTCATCTTTATGTACTACATTGATCATGAGAATCTGACTGCCAAGTTGGAAACTCGAGAAAAAAAATGCATTTATGTTCAATACAGGTATTTGTATTGATATAATATCTTGGTACACTAAAATTTGTACAACTGCATTCCTATTTTTAACCAATGTCGCGATTGCTACCCGAAAGCATTTTCATGTAGATTTTGGTAAAATTATCTGCAGTTAAGAAAGATATGTACTTGGCAATGAAGTTACTAAAAAAATGACTGTGTTTATAACCTTGTCGTCTGACTTCATGAAAATCATTTATCGTATGGCTTTTGATGTCGTAAAGAGCAACCAAACCTACCGAAAAAAAAATTAAGTAACAGTGCAGTTTACAATAAGAATGATCAGGCTAAACATTATTATGAAGCCACTCAAAATCTTTTTCCCGCGCAGAATTGTAATAGCAGGCATACTTATTCTTTCTTTTCTTACGTTGAACGTAGTCAAGATAACAGTTAACATTGTGCATGTGAAATTAAAAGTACTACAATTGGGATTATATGTACTGTTGTAACAGTACTCACCTTCCAATTTGCCTGGATTTCACGAAAGAGAGACCGCCATTGTGAAAACATTTCGAAATGTGTGTACTGAATTTACCTGTACCTGAATACTAGACTTCCGAGAAACTCTAATGGATCGCATCGGAAGTAGAAAGATACTAGTTTGAGCATGGAGACTGGCAATTTCATGTCATGTTGACAGAATGCAGGAGATTTGTATGACCCAAGCTGGTCATAAGTTGGTCGCGGGTGATAGGTAAATTTCTTTGGTTTGACCCACAAGATGCAGGTCATTTAGCAAGTATGCTTGCAAGTCGTGTGGTGCAAGCAACTTGCATAAAAGCACAACTACCAAAATCACTATCATTCCCCTCTTTAGTCCACCATCATCTGATTGTGAGCTAATCAAATTGCCCTTCCTTCGTGGTCCGTCCGTCCGTCCGTCCTTAAACAATTCTTGTTATCTTTATTTCTCGGAAAGTGCAGAAGATATCTTGCTAAAATTTGATATGAAGGTTCCTTTTTGTCCATAGTTGTGCAGTTGGCCATCTCAGATTTTGACAGTGAAGGTTTGTTAGTACTATTTCTCTGGAAGTACAGGAGGGATCTTTCTCAAATTTGATATGTAGGTTCCCCTTGGTCCTCAGTTGTGCATGCTTACTTTTGAGGTTGATAAAAGTCTAATTAAGATGGCAGACAGGCAAACTGATTAAGAAGAGAAAAAGATCAAACTGACGTAGAACTAATGAAGATGGTAAGATAGTGGGCGCCAAGAAAAAAAATTCAATTTTGCTTACTCATCAGTGTATAAAAGAATTTGTAGCAACTACTAAAACATTTTTCTCATATGAATTACAGAAATCTAGATGAGACTACAAAATCGGTGTATAAGGAGAACGTTCGATTGTCGGAGGCCCTGAACTATCACATGAAAGAGGGAGAATTACTGAAAAAGACAAAGGAGAAATTACTAGAGGAAAACGAAAATCTGACAGGGGAGAAGGAACTCAATGATATGATTGTCCAAGAGAAAGTTATACAGTCAAAACAGCAAAAAGAACTTGTGCGACAAGTAAGATGATACCAAAATACAACCACAACATTGTTACATCCAACACAACCCTGTTATCCCAAACACAACCCTGACATTGTTACAACCAACACAACCCTGACATTGTTACAACCAACACAACCTTGACATTGTTACAACCAACACAACCCTGACATTGTTACAACCAACACATTCCTGACATTGTTACAACCAACACAATCCTGACATTGTTACCACCAACACATTCCTGACATTGTTAGAACCAACACATCCCTGACATTGTTACAACCAACACGACCTTGACATTGTTACAACCAACACAACGTTGACATTGTTACCACCAACACAGTCCTGCCATTGTTACAACCAACACAATCCTGACATTGTTACACCCAACCCAACCCTGACATTGTTACAACCACCACAACCTTGACATTGTTACAACCAACCCAACCCTGACATTGTTACCACCAAGACAGTCCTGCCATTGTTACAACCACCACATTCCTGACATTGTTACAACCAACACAGCCCTGACATTGTTACAACCAACACATCCCTGACATTGTTACAACCAACACAACCCTGACATTGTTACCACCAACACAACCCTGACATTGTTTCAACCAATACAACCATGACATTGTTACAGCCAACACAACCATGACATGGTTACCACCAACACAACCCTGACTTTGTTACCACCAACACAACCCTGACCTTGTTACCAGCAACACAACCCTGACATTGTTACCACAACACAACCCTGACATTGTTACCACCCACACATTCCTGACATTGTTACCACCAACACGACCATAACATTGTTACCACCAACACAACCGTGACATTGTTTCAACCAATACAACCATGACATTGGTACAGCCAACACAACCATGACATGGTTACCACCAACACAACCCTGACATTGTTACAACCAACACAACCATGACATTGTTACAACCAATACAGTCCTGACATTGTTACCACCAACACAACCCTGACATTGTTACCACCAACACAACCCTGACATTGTTACAACCAACACAACCCTGACATTGTTACCACCAACACAACCATAACATTGTTACAACCAACACAACCCTGACATTGTAACCACCAACACAACCATGACATTGTTACCACCAACACATTCCTGACCTTGTTACCACCAACACTGACAGTGATACCAACAACACAACCCTGACACGGTTACAACCAACACATTCCTGACACTGTTACCACCAACACATTCGTGACATTGTTACCACAAAAAAAACCCTGAAATTGTTACAACCAACTCAACCCTGACAGTGTCACCACCAACACAACCGGCACATTGTTACCACCAGCACATTCCTGACATTGTTAAAAACAACACAACCCTGACACGGTTACAAACAACAAAACCATGACATCGTTACCACCAACACAGTCCTGCCATTGTTACACCCAACACACCCCTGCCATTGTTACACCCAACACAACCCTGACAAGGTTACAAACAACAAAACCATGACATCGTTACCACCAACACACCCCTGACACGGTTACAACCAACACACCCCTGACATTGTTCCCACCAACACATCCCTGACCTTGTTACAACCAACACAACACTGACATTGTTACAAACAGCACAACCCTGACATTTTTACAACCAACACAACACTGACATTGTTACCACAACACAACCCTAACACGGTTACAAACAACAAAACCATGACATCGTTACCACCAACACATTGCTAACATTGTTACAACCACCACAACCCTGACATTGCTACCACCAACACAACACTGACATTGTTACAACCAATACAGTCCTGACATTGTTACTACCAACACAACCCTAACATTCTTACCACCAACACAACGCTAACATTGTTACCAACAACACAACCCTGACACTGTTACCACCAACACAGTCCTGCCATTGTTACAACCAATACAGGCCTGACATTGTTACCAACAAACACAACCAGACCATTGTAACCACCAACACACCCCTAACATTGTTACAAACAGCACAACCCTGACATTTTTACAACCAACACAACACTGACATTGTTACAACTAACACATTCCTGACATTGTTACCACCAACACAACCCTGACATTGTTACAAACAACACAACCCTAACATTGTTACAAACAACACAACCCTGACATTGTTATCACAAACACAACCCTGACATTGTTACAACCAACACAACCCTGACATTGTTACAACCAACACAACGTTGACATTGTTACCACCAACACAACCCTGACATTGTTACCACCAACACTGACAGTGATACCACCAACACAACCCATTGTTATCACAAAAAGAACCTTGACATTGTTTTCAGCTAAACATTTAGTTCACCTGCTCAAAGAGTCAAGTGAGCTGATGCCATGGCACAGCATCTATCGTCTGTCAATTTTTCCCTTTAAAATGCTACCTGTCCTTAAGGGCTCATTGGATTTGACCAAATTTGGTCTGGAGCATCATTATCCAAAGGAATATCAATTTTGTATAAAAGGAGGGTCTTGCCACCTTTGGGGAAGATAGGGCAGGGCCTTCTAAACCAATGCAGGGATTTTGACCAAATTTGTTCTAGAACATCTTTGGCAAAGGGGATTCAATTTTGTATAAATGAAGGATTGGGTCTTCTTGAGGCAGAGGATGTGGCCCAGTGGGGGAAGAAGCGGGAAATCTTTCTCTTTCTGTACGATTGAAGGTTTTCAAACCAAAATGGTTTGAAGCATGGTTAGGGAAAAAAACACAATTTTGTATAAACAGAGGCTGTGTTTGCTCTTTGGAGCCATTTATTGAATAATGGAAACAAATGTTTGTTATACATTTATACATATATTTATTTATTTTTTCAAAAGAGAGGAAAATTAGACTCATTTTCTTGACACAGGAATTGTGAAAAATCTGGGTTGAACATTTTGAATTTAAAAATTTTGTACCCAAGATATTTTCTACCACTTACCAAAATGTTCCCCTTAGATACTTTTTATACCCTTACCAATATGTATCCTCTGTATACCTTTTGTATTACATCTGAAATGTAACCAAGAAAATTTCTAAATTTTTATATTGTAAATCTAAGAACCCTGTCCTCACTCCGTTTCTTTTTGAGCACTTACAAAAATACAACCGCAGGACACCTTTAGTAACCCTAACCAAAACACATTTTCACAAGTTACCCAATCTCATTTCATGCTCTACATGACATTGACCAAACGTACACTCTTATCAAACACTTTATTTTTTGTATTCTTATTTCTGAGTTGTTACAGTTTCAACACATATAATTAATCTATTTTAAAACTAATATAACTAAGATATATTTGAAATTGAATGAATATTGCTAATAAGGATAAGGTTTCACCACCTGATTAAAAACAGCATATAAAACAAACCAATGCAAATTAGTGTTTTAATTCCGGGGGGTACATTTTGGTCAGATGTAAAAAAAAGTATCTGGGGGTTGGGGAGTTGAATATAGGTTGGGTAATGACTATAACATAACTGTAAATGCTTCTATATATATGACTCCCGAAATTCTGAACTCAATTGGATTAAAAATATTCAAATATAAGATTTTTCATGGGGGGGGGGGGGGTTTTTTTTTGGTCAGGGTATAAAAAGTATCTGGGGGTACATTTTGGTCGGGTGTATAAAAAGTAAAAAGTATCCGGAGGTTGGGGAGTTGAAGATAGGTTGGGTAATGACTATAACATAACTGTAAATGTTTTTACATGACTCCCCAAACCTTATTGTGTCCAGTGATTGAAAATTATTTCGGCATAATTTCCTGGCCCCAGGGGGTGGGGGTTGGTGGGGTAGGGGTGGATAAATATTCCCCTGTATTGTCCTAAACTTAATTGGATTAAAAATAGAGAAATATAAAAAAAATCACAGGGGGGTACTTTTTTTGCAGGGGTGTTACATTTTATGCAGGTATAAAAAGTATCCGGATACTTTTTGGTAGGGGGG